TTGTGAAACAGAATAGCAGTGTGCAGTTGGGTTAACATTTACAGATAGAAAGCAGCAAGCTGTGGAGTAGGATTATTTTTCAGACTAAAGAATCTAACAGAGTGGCATTTCCCAAGAGTCAGGGCTAGGACTACTCCTTCTGTTGTTTCATAAAAATAACTTGGGTTGTGAAATATGAAATAAAATTTCAAAACTTGCCAATAATATGAAACATGGAGAATCAGTCAAGCGAGAATGACAGAAATCGTCTGCAAAGGGACATTGATAGGCTGGCAGCATGGGCAGATTGAACTTAATACAGTGAATTAGGAGATAATGCATGCTGGCAAAGCGATAAAGGGGCAGCAATATAGACTTAATGTCACTTAAATTCAAGGTACAGTTAACAGAGGGTCCCAGGGTATGTGGCCATTTTTTCCTACCACCTTCAAAGATCAAAGACTGGTTATTAAATCAAACATGACCTTGGACTTCATTAGAAGTATCGAGTACAAAATCAGAAAAGTTGCACTGAACTTTTATGATGATCTGATTAAGCCCCAACTAAAGTAATGCATTCAAGCTCCTCAAGAGTGCGTGTAGGGGATTTACTAGGATGGCTCTGGAACGAAGGGGTTTAGTTACAAGGACAGATTGAAGAAGCTGAGATTTCCTCCTTGGAGCAAAGAAGATTGATGGCAGATTTGATCAAGGTGTATATGGTGAGAACAGATTTAGAAAACTCAAAGCAAAGCTGTTCTTATTCTCTGACATTACAAGTATTAGGGCCCCAGCTATTTTCAGCTGCTTTGTCAATGACCTTCCCTCCAGAAGGGAAGAAATGGGGATGTTCGCTGATGATTGCACAATGTTCAGCACCATTCGCAACTCCTCAGATACTGAAGCAGTCCATGTTCACATGTAACAAGATCTGGACAATATCCAGGCCTGGGCCGGCAAGTGGCAAGTGGCAAGTGGCATTCGTGCCACACAAATGCCAGGCTATGACCATCTAACCTTTGCTCCTTGACATTCAATGGTGTTGCCATCATTGAATCCCCCACTATTAACACTATTAACAGAAATTCACCAAAACTCCTTAGACAAGACCTTCCAAACAAACAACCACTTCCGTCTAGAAGGACAAGGGCAGCAGATATATGGGAACATCACCACCTGCAAGTTCCCCTCCAAGCCAATCACGATCCTGACTTGGAAATATATTCATTCCTTCACTGTCACTGGGTCAACATCCTGGAATTCCCTCCCTAATGGCATAGAGTCAACCCCCAGCAGGTGGACTGCAGCGGTTCAAGAAGGCAGCTCACCACCACCTTCTAAAGGAGCCACTAAGGACAGGCAATAAATGCTGGTCCAGACTGTGATGCCCACATCATGTAAATGATTTGAAAAAAAGATATTTTTAAGCAAGAGATGTAGGGTCAGGGGACATAAAAGGAGGAACTTTTGTACACAGCAAGTGGTAATAACCTGGGTCACACTGTCCAGGAATGGAAGCAGAAAGATCAATGATTACAAAAGGAAACTGGATGGACACTCCACAGACTATAGGAAGCGAGCAAGGAAACAAATACGCTGGATTGGCCTACAGAGGACAGCCTAGAATCAATGGCTTCATTGTAGTCTCTGGCTGAAGTGACTATGAAACCTAAAGGCTCCAACAAAGTTGTGAAGAACGTGAAAAGGACAGTTGGAAAAGGATTGAAACTGAATATCATCAAGGGTTAAATCTTGGATCAAGACAAGGAAGATGGTTAGTATTAATCAAAATGATGGAATAGAAAGTTTTAGAATGAATTATGGAGAATATATTCTCAGATTAAAGGATAAACAGCTCAGGACAGATCGAAATCCCAGGAAGAAGCAACAAGATATGTCAGTGTAGAGAATTTAACTCTGAAACAAAACAATTTAAATAACTGTAGTCAGATTTCAGTAACAAAGTACCGAAAAGAATGTCAGAATGATATCATAAGTTGCTGGAGAAGGCCATTCAGCACCTCCAGCCTCCGCCAACATGCAGTAAAATCAATGATAATCTGATTGTGCCTTCACATTCACTTTGCTGCTTGTTCCCCTGTCCTTTGAGTCAATTGTAGATCCAAATTTTAACTGTATTCCACAGTGATGTACAATAGCCAGTCTCCAGTGCTCACCGGGGAACAGAATCTCACAGTCTAAGGATCCTCTCAAAGAAAAAAATTCCTCCTTATCTTAAATGTGGGACTCCTCACTTCTAAACAACAGGGCAGCACGATGGCTCAGTGGTTAGCACTGCTGCCTCACAGCGCCAGGGACCCGGGTTCAATTCCACCCCCAGGCGACTGTCTGTGTGGAGTTTGCACATTCTCCCCATTTGCGAGGGTTTCGTCTGGGTGCTCTGGTTTCCTTCCACAATCCAAAGATGTGCAGGCTAGGTGGATTGGCCATGGTAAATTTCCCATAGTGTTCAGGGAGGTGTCGATTAGGTGGATTAGGGGCGGATGGGTCTGCGTGGGATGCTCTGAGGGTCGGTGTGGACTTGTTGGGCCGAAGGACCTGTTTCCACACTGTAGGGATTCTATGATAAATGGTGTCCTCTGGTTCTAGACTCTAAATATCCTCTCACGTTCCATCCTGTCAAGGTATAGGCATTTGGAGCTATGGAAAGTCACTGCAACAGATGTGAACAGGACCAGAGGTCATTGACCTATAACGTCAATTCTGTTCCTCACTCCACAGATGCAGCCAGACCTTCTGAGATCTTCCAGCATTTGCTGCTTTTCAGCATCTGAGGCATGTTGATTTTGGAATCTAATAATTGTTGATTTTCAAGAGAGATTAGGAAGCAAACAAAAAAAGGAGTGAGGTCAAGTGTTAATGAGAATGGGCAGCCAGTTGTGGAACAATGCAAGAACTGGAAACAGAGGAGTGGCCAAAGAACATTCCTGGGACTGCACTCTAAATCAGATTTCTAATCTATAAAGGGCTTCAGGATTACAACTGAGTGAAAGGAATAAGTAAAATAACATCAACAACTTCTATTTAAAGAATTTTGAATGCAGTAAAAGTATCCAAAAAATATTCCACAGGAGCGTTGTTAAACAAAATTAACCCAGAGCCATGTAAGTAATGCTTGGAAAACTGATCAAAAGTTTGGTCAAAAAGGTAGGCTTTAAGAAATTTAACAAATCACTATGAATCAGGGAAAATTGCAACATCCTGTCTAAACTGCCAAGAATCAGCTAACGAACCTAATTCTATTTTCTAATTTTTGTCTTGTGCCAATGTGGGATCAGAGCGTATTCAAGTACTCTGTGAATGCAATGAGCTTTCCTGTGTTGAACATTCATTCAGGAAAGCAAGATCCAGACCCTCACTACCCTGTGGGCTGAACAGATCAAGTCACGTTAGAGACAGAAGAGTTCAGGGATGGAATTTGAAAGCTTAGGGCCGAGGCAGTCAAAGGCACGGCCACCAACGCAAAGTTATTGAACAAGACAGATTTTGGAGGGACATGGGACTGGAAGGGATTATAAAGAAGGCTGCGGAGGCGGGGTGGGGGTGTAAGGACATGACTTGGAATTTTAAAACAAACACATTGTTTGAACAGGAACCAATTTATGTCAAGTAGAAGAGCAAGAGGTCAACTAGACTTGATACAAGTTAAGACACTGGCATCAGAGTTTTAAATAATCTTATGGAGGATGAGACAGAGCAATCAGAACAAATTCTAAATCAAGTATTTACAGATAACAAGGGAAAGAAAAAGGTTTTCAAGACCAGATGAGGTAAGGAAAGGGATAATGTTGGTGGATATAGTAAGTATTAGTGATGATGTGTGTTTATACAAGTTTGGAACATTATCTCAGGGTCAAAAATTATACCAAGGTTGTGCAAGGTTCAGCCTCAGATAGTTGCTAAAGAGAGGGATAGAGTTGATAATTTAAGGAATGGATTTGTAGCCAGGACTGAAGACAATGGCTTCTTACCTCTCAATGTTAACTAGAAGATTTTTCTGCTCATCCGGTTTAGATAAACAATAGCAGTCATTTGCTGACTTGGAGAGAAGAGAGGAGTTGAGAGAGGTGCTGGTGAGTTAGAGCTTGGTGTTAGCTTAGAAATATGTAACTCATGAATTTAATGTCTTAAAATTAAAAGACTGCATTCAGACAATGTCACTGAGGGGTAGTGTGAGGTTTTGAAATAAGAGGGGTTGATGATCAACCCTTGGGGGACATTGGAGTTAATGATGTGGAAGAGGGAAGTGAAGCTATTGTACGTAATTCTCTATCTGTGGTTAGACAAATGAATAAACGGGAAGATAGTGCAACAGAATGACCTGACAGATGTAATTTAATGCAAAAGTGCAAAGACATGTTTTTTGGAGGAGAAAGAAGAATAAGGAGTGGATGAAGGACACTGCAGTATCGGGTCACGTACACAACTCCCTGAAAATAAATTTGGATAGAGTTATGAAAAAAGGTTGATTAAAATTTAGATTTATAAAACAACAAGAATATAGCAGATCATTAAATAAAAGTCAATACTGTTTTACCAACAGGTTTGAGAGTCCCATTACAGGAAGCACATTAAAAGGCAGTGGCAGTGTTATGTAGGTTTTACAAACTGGTGAATTATAATTAGGAGGCGAGACTGAGTCGGACAGCAACAGGAACTCTTCCTGGTCAAGGCCAAGGAGATTTTCTTGAGTCTATTCTAAAATTATGAGGGGTTTGGTAAATCAAATGTAGTCACATCTCGACTGGACGGGAGGTGGTTTCGATTTAAAATTAATGCTGAGCTGGTGCGAGGGGAGAGTTACAGAAATACTGTCGCAAAAAGTTGCTGGAGTTTTTCTGAAGTTTTGTCGCAGACGGGGGAGGGGTGTGGAAGGGAGGGAGGAAGGAAGGAGACGGGGGGTGGGGGGGGTGAAGACAGGGGGAATGTTGGGGACAGACAAGGAGGGGGTTTGGGTTAGAGGGTGGGGAGCGAGCCGGACTCGGTCGAAAGGAGCTCACCTCCGGGCGCTGGGCGCGGAGTCCGCTGTCGGGGCGGCGGGCGGCGGGCGGCGGCTGGCTCCTGGCTCCCGGGTGCGATCGAATCCAGCTCCAAGGGCTGGGCTCAGGCCGGTTACAGACGGGACTCTCTCTCCGGCTCCGGCTCCGGCTCCGCCGCTTTTTCAGGAAGTGGCGGCCCTGACGTCACCCAGGTACAAAGCAGCCCGCCCAAAATTTAACCCGTTCCCGCCCCCCC